TTAAAGTATATGGACTAACTCAACACACTACAAAAAATGAGTACATGTTGGTATTTGATGAATTTGGTACTGCAAGAAAGAGTGAAAATGGAAAATGTGCAAATTGCAATCAGTATAATACATCGCCAGTTTGGTGTCAGACGTGTGACCTTCAGAAAACAACGCAAGAATGGGCAAGTGGAAATAAGGATGTTGATAATTGTATTAAAGAATTACAACTTAAAGCCTCGAACTATGAAAATTTAATCAAATGGAGGGTATGACATATATATCCATTTCTATATTATCAAAAAAAAAAATTTTTAGAACCAAATATTTAAATCAATCAGGGTAATATAAAGAAGTAGCAATTAAAATCGTAAAAGATTCTAATAAGAATAAAGTTCCATTTCATTCAGTGAATCATTTAATGAATCATTCAGTGAATCAGATAATAAACAACCTACTTCAACAACTTTAAATACCATGGCATATTTTTCATATGACAGACAAAATTTTACTGAAGTAGAACCATTTCAACAAAATAATCTCTATAACATTGATTCAACAGCGGATTATACACCTACCATAGATTCTGGAATGAATATGCCATTAGGAATTTCAGAAAACTTAGTATTTCCGAACGAAAACTTGATCAGTAATAACTATTTAAAAGTAAAATTATATTTGCTTTCTCTTCGAAGCTTTGATAAACTTATCAGCTTCCCTATTATTCTTGAAAAGTTAACATTACGCATTGCATAAACATTATCCAAATCAGCAGATCTCTTATAATATTCAAATGCTTTCTGGTAATTTATTTCTATACTAAATCCATCTGAATCTCCTAAATCAGCTGCTTTCAAATAATAATTAAAAGCCTTCTTTTTATCTTTAATAATACTGATACCATATTGATAAATGCAACCATATTATGAGTAATAGCAATCAACTGAAAGTTTGACTGCCCTCGATGCCAGCCATCAAATTTTCAAAATTTCCTTCATCAAGATTTGTGGTAAGTTCATCAAGAACGAAAACACTATAATTTATGCAAAAAGTTTCTGCCAATACCAATCTAATTATAATTGATGCTAATATTTTTTAATCAGTGCTGCACCTTCCACGCATATCAATAGCTCTACCATATATGACAATAATAACTTGTTAATAAAATAAATAAAATAACTTAGATTAATCATACTGAAAGTATTAAAACCTTGATGCTTACCTAGCTCTCGTAGTTTCTTCTTCAGAGCTTATCTCAATGCAACCGATATCTTTAAGGTGCCAATTAGTAATATAAATACAAAGTATGATAATAAATTTCAAGCCAATAATTATATATACTTATCTTCGACACTGAGTACTATTACTGTATTCAACTTCATAGTTTCACGATTCAAAGATCCAGCCCATTCGAAATATAATTCAACGATTTAACCCAAGAATTCCAAGCTCAAATTTCAAAGGCCCTATACATTTCATAGATAATTTAATATAATAATCAGATCCTAAACAATTAGGTCTGAATACAAGATTAATATCAAATAAAATTCTATCAAACACTCTTTGTCCAGTCGAAATCTCGTCATGATAGTTCTTGGATTTT